CTGTTGCTTCTTTACTCCTCAGTTGACTGAAAAAGGCAGGGTGATTCCCAATCTTCTAGTCACACCCTCCTGAGCCAAGGCTGGAAAATGCAGTAGCAGGCAGCTTTGACATAGGTAGTTCTGGGTTCAAATCTCTCAATGTAGCCAATCAAGCTCAAGTCCAGCATGCTACTTTTCTTCAGCTTAGTGTTATTCCAGTAAAAATGGGTAACATCATCTTATTTGCAGAACTAGAGATAGAATTATGAAAATAAAATGTATACCTGGTAATGGGCTCCTAACACATGGTAGCTAGTTTCTACACAGACAATGCAGTTCAGAAATCAAGAGCTTCTTTACTTAATAAAATTGTTTTGGATGTGCCTCTGTATTTAACATAAATCTGTTGAGTTCCCATAATGGGCTGGGTGATGAAGATGACAGAGGTGAAGATAGTTCATAAGGTCCCTGACCTCCTGGCACTCAGGATCTGGTGAGGATGAATGTTCCTTAAATCTTGATCAAATAAATACATAATTTCCAACTGTGAGAACTTCCATGAGAGCAGTGAATACTGTGAGAACTGTATTCAGAGATCACAATGGGAAACCTAGAATAGTCAAGAAGATCAAGATCCTGGGCCAGAACTGAAAGAATAACTAGTTGTGGTGGTGAACACAGGAGACTACACAGTCAGACCAGCACACTGGAGAGATATGAGGCCAGAAGAGTCCTCCTCTTGCGATTAAACAGAAAAGCCAGAGTGACAACGTTAAGATATGGAAGGTGAGAGGAGGGGACATGAGGCTGGGGAGTCCAGCAGGCCTGCTCTGAGCCCTCTGAGGAAAGAAACCACAGAAGCAAAGATGGGCACTCAAATCTGCAATTTAAATTTGCAGTTCAAATCTCCATTGCAGCCTCTTCTTCAAAGATGACCTCGGGCCCAAAGCCAGGTAAGATGAGCAGCAATGCTTTCACAGTTGGAAGACATTTCAAAGACAATATGCATACATACATGAGCACATGTGCATAAATAAACATATGAATATGATTTGTGTACGTTTGTTTTAGTCATCATTGGCTACTTTGGGTAATGTCTAAATCACTCCTAAATTATGATCCTTTCAGAACCCTGGATTTTCCAAAGAGCATGTCACATCACTCATGCTCTTCTTACAGTGTGACCCTATACTCATCCACTGAGAGAGTAATGGTTCTATGTTTCTACTCCTTGAACCTGGGCTGACATTTGTCACTGCCTTGACCATCAAAAAATAGTGGCAGTGACACTTTGTATATCGCTTCTGAAGCTAGGACATAAAAATGCCATGCACTTCCACTTTGTTCCCTTGGGACGCTTGCTCTCGGAACCCAGCTGCCATGCTCTGAGGAAGTTCAAACTGAGCCACGTGGACAGGCCACGTGTAGGTCTGGGCCAAAAGCCACATCAACCCCCAGACATGGGAGTGATGTTGCCTCGGATGATTCCAGATCCAGCTGTCAAGTCGCCCAGCTTTGCAACCTTTCCAGCTGGGGCCCCTGACATAATGGAGCAGACAAAAGTCATCCCCACTAGGCCCCATCCAAATTCCTGATCCAACATATGCATGAACAAAAAAAAATTAAATGACCATTTTATGCCAAGTTTTGGGCAGATGTGTTACACTCAACAATAAATGACACAAAAAATATCTCAAAGCTATGTACACACACACACACATACACACACGTGCGTGTGCACATAAATTTATGCATATGCACATATATTTTTCTTTAACCTCGCCCCAAGAACCTTCTAGAGAGGATAACCATCATTACTCCTGAATTAGAATTCCTAGGCTTTATCCACACCACTTCTGGAAAAAAGATGGCCAGGTAGTTTATATCCAAGAAAAATTAAGCACTTTTAAACCACTCAAAATATGCAAAAGCAATCGATTCTCATTGCAAAAATAAATGAAAACTCTCATTAGCAAATCTAACACCTTATTTCAACTGTTTTTGAAAACAGAGATCAAAAATGAGAAACAAGTAGATAGAGAACCCGGCTCTGGTCCTTCTCCACTGCTGAAGGCTCGCAGATCTGAAAGGAGTATTTGTAGATGAAATAAAGCAATGTATTTAAGGTCTTCTTGGCACAGTGCCTGGCACTTAAGATCCCACCAAACTGCAGTTATTATTATTATTGCTTTTTGTTGTTGTTAGGATTAAGAGTTTTCTTGCTTCTAGCACTAACCCTTCCTGACCTATATTAAACATCCCTTATGTTCCATCTCCTGGAGTGGGGAGCGGTAAAAACTTCTTTTCTATCCTGCATGTATGTAACCAAATATGGAAAATCTCCTCCATATACAACCAAAACTTTTCAGTATATAACCAAATCTGACTTGGGCTAGAAGTCAAAGAGATCTCAGATTCCATATGATCAGAAATATTATATAACATTATATAACTACCACACATCCCTATTTGGTTTAGTAAAAGAATTATCCCTTTTTTTAGGAAAGAAAAGGAAAAAAAGATCAATATGTGAAAGAAAATAAGCTTCTGAGAAGTTACCTTTCATAATCACTGAATGACTTTCAAGATGAGTAAATAAAAATATTACCTTTGATCATTATGAAGGTACCTCAAGTGAGTATATAAATATTACAAAGCTGCACCCAGACTGTGGCACCAATACCAGGGAACAGAGGTGAGAACAAAGAGCTAGTTCACTCCAGGTTGGTTTTTTCCTCTACTCCATTAACAGCATGACTTTAGCCTAAACATTCAGCCTCTCTAAGTCACAATGTCTTTAAAACAGGCTAAATTCCAAACTTTTTTATCCATACTTAAAGACCATTAAGCAGAGTGGCCCCCAAGTTTCCAGAGTAAGACTCACTATTCGAATGTCTGTATAAGCTAAATGACAATTTCCCAAGCAGAAATAACATCATTTATGGAATCACAGGCATTAATTAATCTGTTAAAAAATTATCTTCAAAAACCCAAGCCTTGCTGCAAACTGCTACTGTGCATCATGTGCTGAAATCCTCAAGATCCAATGGAAGAAAGGGGACTTCAGACAGAATTAGAACTAGCAAGTCAACTGGGGGAAATAAACAGAGAGGCCAGCACCCTCCTTAACAGGGCTGGCTTTTCCCAGTTAGATCTCTGGGTCCTGTAGGGGGTGGGGGGGTGGTTCCTAACTGGACAGTGGTGGGAAGGTGTAAAGAGGAAGTGAGAGATAGAAAGAGAACATAAATGGTAAAGAGGAGAAGAGGAAAAGGTAGGGATAGGGGAAATGGATATGCTATGGCTAAGTCTCAGTCCACAGTACTTGAACAGAAATGTCACTATCAGGGAAACCATTTCAAAATGACAGGTCTAGTCACCAGGTTCCAAGTTCACAGAGAATGACTCCCACTGCCCCATATGTACTAAATCCCTTGCCATTGATCCAATTAATGGTGTAGGTCACATTCTCTATCCAGGGGGGAAAAAATATCTTTTGTATTCTGGGAAGTGGTGGGAACCTTGTGACTCATAGGGCTGGAAAAATGGCTGGCATGCAATTGACTTGGAATGGCCCTTGCCAAAGGTAGCATGAACTGTCACCTGGCTTTTCACTCAGAAAATTAGGAACCCTCTGGGTGAGACTTAGTCAGTAGACTGATGCCTGGCAGGTCTGAATCTGCCCTTGGAGAGAAGTCAATTCCCCCACATAAGCACAGCCTGCTCCCTGGTGTCAACACCCATGGCATGGCCAGAAGATCCTGAATACAGAGCAATGGAGAGAGGCAAGCAGTGGAGTCTTAAGGCTTTACTGAAGACCAAAACCGCCTCTCTCCTATTACCATATATGATGAAGTCTGTTGAGAGATCTGCTAAGAACTGAATGATCGTCCAGTTTCACCATGAAGCATCACACCAATTTGAGAGAGATCCCATTATGTTTGCTGGCACGTTTAAAAACATGTTATCATCACTATCAAAATGCCTTTATTCTGCACTTCACAACACCTTGCATCAGAGCTATGTCTATTTTAACATCACAGCACATATTTGTAACTGCTTTTTCTCACAGCCATTTATATGGCTGTTTTCCTACAAACCCTGCCACTTGAAAGGCCGGAATATAAAACCATTTTACAACAGTTATTTTTCTAAGTCTTTCCTTCGTATTTTTTTAGACAGCTGCACCCCAGAGTCCAAATTGTTTTCAGTGGACAACTGTTCTGAGCACATTTCTCCACAAGGTCTATTTCAGCTCCAGAAAGGCCAAGGACAAAGATAAGACCAAAGTTGTGTGTGAAAGAGCAGACCCAGGGCAGACCCACTCCAATGGACTGGGACAGAGTGATGAGTGGTCCGGCCCACAGCAGCCAGTCCACAAGACGCGGCGGCTGTGGGGATGGAGTCGGTGTCTTCCCAGCGAGCGGTCAGTTTAATAGAACAAATCCATTCCCATGCCCTGGCTAGTGGCTAACACTTTTTTCCTATCCGAAGTTCCGGGCACCTGTTCTAAAAAGGGCAAGAGCTTTGAGATGTGCCCCACCAGGCCTGTTCTCTATGGGGAACATGGGGCGAACTCCGTGTTAACCAGCCACAGCCTTCAAGCCTTCCAGGAGCCAGAGTGTACAGGTGGTTACCTGCACAGGTACTGAATCTTACCAGGACAACTTTATTACTGGCCTTGCAGGAGGCTTGTGCAGGATAAGAACCCCCGGCCCCCTTGGGTAGGGTAAGGTCACCACCACGACTCCCTCCAACTTGCGGGAAAGGGGCAGGAGCATTGGCACAGGTAATGGTACCCTGGGCAGCCAGGCGCCCAAGCGTGCTGGCCGCTTCTCCATGGCTGGGGTCCTGGCGCGAGCCCCGCGGGGGACAGGGGGCTGTCCTCCTGCCTGCACCCCTGCCCCCGACCCTGCCGGCTGGCCCTCGCGGCTCCGACCCGGCTACACGGCCGCGCCGACCGCAGCCGCCCCGCGCGCGCGGAGCCGCAGCGCCCACTCGGGGCAGGCAGCGCCAGCACTCACCCTTCTGCTCTCGCAGGCTCGACAGCGACCAGAGCAGCAGCGCCACCGAGGCCAGGAAGCAAAGCTGGCTCAGCAAAAGGTCCCTCCGCCGGCGGCGGCGCCGGCGACGCGCGCGGTCCTCGTCGCCGGGCAGCGGCATCCTTGGGCGGCCGGATGGCGGCCCCGGCGGGCAGCGGCCGCTCGTGTCGCGGGCGGCCGCGGCGAGGACGGCGGCGGGAGGCAGCCCTGCCTGCAGCAGCCGCGCGTCCTCGCTGCGCTCCCACCCGGCCGCCGCCTCCTCCTCCTCTCCCTCCTCCTGGCCGCTGCCCGTCCCCTCGTCGTCGCCCTCGCCGTCGCTATCGCTCAGTCCCTCCTCTCCCCCCTCCTCCTCCTCCTCGCTGCTCGCCCGCGCCGCCGCCTCCCGGCGCTCGGGGTCCCTCTCCTCCTCGCGCGCCATGCTCCCACGCTCCGCGCCCGCGCTCGGCCTGGGGCGGCGGCGCGGCGGGGGCGGCGGGGGCGGCCGGGAGGCGGGGGGCGGCGGCCGCCGAGGAGGAGGAGGAGGAGCGGGGAAAGACCCGCGGGAGGAGGGCCCGCTGCTGGCCAACGCGGCCGGCTGGCGAGGCCACCCCGGGCAGGCTCCGGCCTCGCGGGCTGCAGGAGCGCGTTGTGGGTCGCTCCCCTACTCCATGGGCAGCGCTCAGGAACCGGGGACTGAGCAGGGGTCGGAGCGCACCGGGAGCTTCGAGCGAGCCCGTATTACAGGCGAGCGCAGTTTCCCGCAGCCTGCAGCGGCAGCGCGGCTGGTCGGGCCCGGGTCGGCGGCAGGGGGGCGCACGGGCGGGGGGCAGTGCCTAGGATGCAGCCCGGCGCTGGCCAGCACCGCGGGGAGGGGGCGCGCAGGGTGGAGACTGGGCTGGCGAGGGAGCCCGGTGTGCAATCCTTCAACCTTTCCGTGCCAAGGGAAGGGGGCCGTGCAGGGGACCCCCCCACACGCGGGACACTCACGCCACTGCCAGCAGGCAGCTCTCCACCGAAAAGGGTTGGCTGGAAACTTTCGAAAAACCGAGGGTCTCTAGCCCCCCCTCCCACTCACCCGCTTCCAATGTAGGGTCGCCGCGAGGGCGCTCGGTTGATTGCACACTGGCACTGGTCTTGCCTCTTCCTGCGGGCCTCCCGGGTTCCTCCCTGCCCCCGTGCGAGGATCCCCCTGCGCGCCAGGTTTGGGTCCTGGAACAGGCCTCCCCTCAGGCTTTTGGCTCTCTAGGTGTGTCCTGGCTCCCCCCTCTGGCCCAGGCTCACACTTCGCTCCCTGATGTGCTGCGCCAAGCCCAGTGCTGTGACTGAGGAGAGGTAGAGAACTGGCATGGTCCCTGGGAGAGGAAGCCTGGGGTACTAGAGCAACCTGGGGAGTAGGCTCCAGGCTCCCTACAGTGGGAGCTTCAGCCTGCCTCACCCACCAGGTTAGAGACCTAGTTCCCCCACTCCCCTGCTTCCATTTCTCCTCCTGCCCTTTCTGCTGAATGTGTAGAGACCTGCAGAAGGTGCCCACTTGCAGAGGACACCTAGTGATCTCAGACATAGCCCATTCTCTCTCCTTGGGCTTCACTGGCCTCTGCCCAGGTGCCTCCCTTGGGCTACTGGCTGGATGGCACATACAGCCCTGAAAAGGAGATGCCTTTGTAGTGAGACTGAAAACAAAAGGTCCTGTTCCAAACAGGATCACCTGGAAACCATGTATCTGGGTGACTTTGTGGAATTGTATCAGATCAGGGAAGGTAGCTCTAGGCTCCAGGGAGGTGGAGAGGAAGGAGGGGAACCTCTGTATGAATTTGCCTAGGTTCCAGAGGGCCTGTAGAGTGCAAATGTGTCCATCTGTGGGTGACTTGAAATCTCAGATGTCCTCTGACAGTATTTGGGGACACAGCAAGAGGCTAAGCAGGTTGCCATAGGTGGTTTCCTTTCCGTAGAAGGGCCATTTCACCCAGCAAGAGTGGAGGACTTTTGCTTCCTGTGCAAATTCAGTATAATTCAACTAAGTACAATAGACATTCAAATGATGTTTCTAGTGAAAGGTAAGAAAAATAAAAGGTGAATGAGAGAATCTGGAATTAATTGGGTTAGGAAACAAACATTCACTCAAGGAAGTGCCACAGGCACAGGAATTGTGTAATCTGGTGATGAGGGTGGGTGGGTGAAAGGAACAGATTAAGGAGGAGGAAGTGAGAAAGGAGGAACTGGCAATCCCTTGGAAAAGAGAACACTCCTGTAGCCCAGAGAAAGGATTCTTCTACTTAGTATTCATTTTTGAAAGATGTCAGAGCAGAGGGAGGTAGTGAAGTAAAACAGAAAGATCCCCAGAGAAGCCAACCACTACTCAGGGAAAGAGGAGTGGGGACCTTTGGTCCCCAGCCTGACAGCACCTTAACCCCGGGTGGGCTCCTCATTTTTTCAGGGATGGTGCCTCTTTGAGAATTTGCCTGGGACCAGGGAAGGCCTTGGTCTCCAACCACACCCCCTCCATCAGGCAAGTGTGTGGTGGAGCAGGATCTAGGGTCCACTATCAGCACTGAAGGAGACAGACCTGAGGGGGCTCCTCTACAAAGGAAAAATAGACATTTTTGCCTTACCTGGCCCTCCCAGTTCTTGGAAGGTCCCCCAGGAAACTGAATTTTGGAAGGAGCAGGAGCTGAAATAAACAAGTGCTTATTGTGATCTTTCAAAATCAAGATCATCATCAATCCTGACATGGCTTTTCCCTTCTATACCTATTTGTACTTGATCTCACAGTTTGTGCAGGTAGCCTCAAAAAGGAAATTCCATGCTCTGATAGTCTGAGAATAACCTTGGGAAAAGAAGCATCATTTCCAGACAGGCAGGGCTGCTTACCCTTCTAAGAATGAAACAGGTGTATTTACCGAGCACTTCTCCACCCTGGGCTGGATTCTGGGCTCACCATCCTTGCCCCTGTTTCTATTCCCATAAGCATTTCACTCTCAGTTCCATGCAGAGATCTGGGGACTGATAAGAATAGAAGTGGTTCTTGGTTCTCCTAGCTATGCCTTTATAACAAAAGATAAAAAGTCCTTGAATTCACAGACTCTCAGTCCAGACCAAATCTTCCATTAGCCAGCAAGTAGGACCCCTTCTGTGCCTAAACAAGGCAATTCTCTGGGCCTTCCCTCAGTCTTTCTGGCTCTCTGTAGCCTCCCCTTGCCCACAGTGCCCAGATCTGACAGAGCAGTTTCTACAACAAAGCAAGATTGTGTCTCCATAACACCAAACATTGCCAGTTGTGTCAAACAGATAACTGTCAAACAGATAAACTGTCAATTTAGAAAGGGGAAGAGGTGGGGAGGAGATGACAAAAGCCACTTTGCTTAGTAAAGCGACACATGGGCTTCTTTGCCTTGGCTGCTCAGTAACACAAGGAGATGTGGTCCAAGCAAAGAAAGATCACTAGATGTTCATGGGAAACCTTTAAGCACAAAAAGACTAATGTTTGCAGATGGGATAGAGGGGAGAAATCCTTCCATAGAATATTCCTAGAACAGCCTCAGATGCCATACCCTTTCCTGGATAATAATTCACCTGTAGCCTGGGGAAATGTTTTCATTGATAGGATTGATTGACTGCTCTTCACCTCCTGGTGAATCCCCTGCACATGCAGAGTCCCATAGATCTGGACAAAACCCCAAGTTTACCAAGGAAGGGTTCAAGTACTCCCCCCCCAATTCTTGCCCACTTCCCCTAAAATAGCATTTTGACAGACAAAAAAAAAAATCACTCCTCTGTGGTGAGTCCTGACTCCACATCCTGACCGTTAGATCACCCTGTCTACAAGGTGGGTTCCCATTATGTTAGGTATTCCATTTTAGGACTGGAGTTAAAAGAAACCACTTATAACTGTTTCCAATTTTAATTTTTAAGTTTTTCCCTAACTGTGGGCATTGTTTGGTGACTTTTGACTCACTACTCAAATATGACTATAGTTTTTTTCTCCCACCTAATGTTTATTGTCATATGCTCTGCTATCTTCTCTAAAAAAATATTATATATATGCCCAGCAAAATGCACACTGCTTAAAGTGTTAGCTCAATGAGTTTGTGCTATACGCCCAGCTAAATAAGTTCCAAGTCAGGACATGGAACACCTCCCTTCCTTCTTGTGCTAACTCCCTGCTAAGCAATAACCCTCCCCCAAGATAACTCCTCGTCATCCCACTCTTCCCATCCTGGGTTATTGTTGCCTGTCTTTGAACTTCACGTAAATGAAGGCTACTTTGGCTCAGCTTTGTTTCCATGAGATCCGTCCACAGCAGTGTGCATAGCTTTGATTTATTCTTTTCATGCTTTGTAGGTGTGGATTTTTTCTACCTGATGCTTCAGTTCCCTTCCAAGTTCAGCGTAAGCCAAGAATAATCAAACAACTGCATCTGGATCAGAGACAAATGACCTCCCAGACTGGCTAGTTTCATAAGGATCCTTAGCGGAAAAGAAACAGTCATTGGCCGTTTCTCAAACAGGTTTCCCTAAATAAGGAGGGGTCCAAGGACAACTCCAGAAACACAGGTCAACTGACAAATTTTACGGTTTCAAAGCTTTTAAAAATAAGCATAGAGGAATTCCTAAGAAGTACATAAAATTTGGAGGCTGCTTTTAATGGAAAAAAAAGTCAGTACAACCCATTTCCTGTACATTCTTTCCACCTCTTTTCTAGACAAAAATAGAACAGGTGCTTTCAAGAGAGATGCACACCAGTCCTTGACAGTCATGGAGCATCTTTTCAATGCAGTTCTGATGGACATGAAAAGCATATGGGAGCTTGTCAGAAATGTCCATCCCCAGCCTGTGGGAGAGGGGAGGGCCTAGTAAGCTGCATTATTAACCAGCTCCTGGGGATTCTTCCATATTACGGTTTGAGACTTGCTGTTCTTGGGAAAGGAACATCTTGGGATGTATTTTGGGTAGATCATGGGAAGCAGATCTAATAAGAAAAAGTATATTATCTAGCCTGTATTCATGGATATTTTCATTTGACTTATTTTGGGTGTTTGGAAGAAATAAAAACAGTTCTTGAACACACCCTATGGGTATGTCTGTATCTCTTGGTTCACATTGAGTACTATTTAAATGAATCCTATAAAATAATTCTGAATCACAGAAATAAAAGATTAAAAATTGAAATCCTCAGAAGACAAAAATTAAGCATTCACAATTGAGCCATTTGTTCATTCTATCAGGATCATTCAGAAAGAAAACACACAAACACCTCTAATTTTATTCTGTCCATGTAAATTTGAGCAGAGGGGATGTAGAGTATGGCAGGGGAGCCCAGGCAGGACTTTTTGTTGT